GATGAGAGAGAAACATCGATCAGCTGCCTCCTGCACACTCTCCACTGGGGATGTCCTCGCAACCAAGGTACATGCCCTTGACCAGAATCGAACCTGGGACCCTTGAGTCCACAGGCCGATGCTCTATCCACTGAGCCCAAGTGGTTAGGGCAATTAATTCCCTTTTAATGTGCAGGAATTTAGTGCACCGGGCTACTAGTATAGAATAAATAAAATAGCTAATCAAATGTATTCTGCCCTAGTCGTCAGCATACTAACTAAATGAGTCCTTAGCTGAAATGCCCTAGTCACCAAAAAGGCAGGTGTGTTCCAAAGGTAAGTGTCAAGGCGAAGAGCTTTTTGTCCAGGGAAAGTACTTGGCTGCACTTTCCATGTGTCTGTTTTTATCTTTCTAGGCAGTCATTCTCTTTAGATACTGAAACAAACAAGTCATTGAATTAAGTTTTTTATGAAATAATTGAGACTCATACTATGTCATTCAGTATGCTAGCTTTACTCCCAATCTCTGGGGAAACCAGCAATATGATATTGCAATTTATTTAAAACAATAAAAATGCATACACAGAAGCTGAGTCTATGAAACTAACATGTAGGGTTTTGCACAGGCCTGGTCCATTGTCGGCATCTAATTCATGTCGTTCTTTTGTATGACACGGTGCTGCCTGAATGTTGCAATCTGGATTATAATCCAGACGCCCTTCCTGGTAATTCCAGATTAGGTCCACAGACAGTGCCTTCAGGATGGTTGAATGCCTGCACCAGGGGGCAACTCAAGGCTTTCCCTGTAGCCCAGGGCTTTCTGGGCAGCTCCTCCTGCTGCCTGTTCCCTGTCCATCCTGGCCCCGCCCCTGGGGCCCAGCTTGCTGTGCAACCCTCTGTGAGCTCACACCAGCAGAGAAAGTTGGGCCCAGGTGCAGAGCAGTGGCTGGCTTAGACATTACCAGTCCAAACAGCCAAGGCATCCTCTGCATCTTGCCATGGTTTACGGTAATAAATTAAATTTCTTATGGACTTTAGGTTTCTATCTGGTAGCCAGTCAAAATCCCACCGTACCTTCCATCGAAGACAGGAAGTTCATAGAGGACTGTGTCAGAGCTCACAATGAAATGCGTCGCACAGTCCAGCCCTCCGCAGCCAACATGAAATACATGGTGAGAAAAAAAGTGAGCTGGGATTATACTAAGGCAGTGGTCGGCAAACTCATTAGTCAACAGAGCCAAATATCAACAGTACTTCTTCAAAATAGACTTGCTCAGTCCGAAAACCGACTTCTGCGCATGTGCCACGAAGTTTCACTCGCACTGTACATGCACACCCACACGTGGTATTTTGTCGAAGAGCCACACTCAAGGGGCCAAAGAGCCGCATGTGGCTCGCAAGCCGCAGTGTGCTGACCACTGTACTAAGGGATCTTAGCGGTTCATTTTATGGACGCATTTATGTAAATTCAGTTAGGACTTTCAGCATGCAGTTTAAAATCATACCTTGGCTGAGCTGTCTCCTGCAGAGTGGTGATAGAAGGGAAAGAAAAAGGAAATCTTGATGCTGTTACTTGCTAGAGTTACAAGTGTGTGTTTTTAATATACAGTTTACAGCTGTGAAGACATGAATCAGTTTATTCTTGTATTTTATCTTTTAATTATTGTATTGTTTATTGTAAACCTCCTTTTGCCCATCCCTGTATATGCGGACATTCTATATGAACACATACTTATGCTATATTTTCTAAACGGAAGGATAAATGTAGATTAAGTTAAATTTTCATAGCTACCTGCAGAAGAGGAGGAAGAAAGGAATAAGGTAGAGGAAACATGAGCCTTCTTTGAATTTACCTTGTTTTATATATATAGTTCAACTTTGTAAACATGCGATCATTTTTGTTTTTTTAACACTTTACGTGGAAGATCTGGTGCTTTTCTTTTTTTCTTTTTCTTTTCTTTTTTTTCAGATCAAGATCCACCTTATATCATTTTCCTTTGGCTTAAAGGATATTAATATTTGTCATACTGTGGGTCAGTTGGTAACTAATCCTCTCAACTTAGTGTGTCTGTGAGTTTATTTCTCCTTAAGTTATGATATATACTAGTCACAGAATTCTAAGTTGCCCTGGTAACATCTATCTTCCTGCACATTGTTTGTGACTAGAAATCTACTGGATCATTTTCTTTGTTCCCATGTATATCAGATGTATTTTTCCTCTGGCTGCTTTAAAGAAATCTCTTTATCCTTGGTTTTGAGCAATTTGGTTATAATACGCCATGGTGTAGTATTGTTCTAATTTCCTGGGGTTCATTGAGCTTCTTGGACCTGCAGGTTTAAACAAATTAGAAAAATTTTAGCCACTGTATAGTCAAAAACTAAAGACTCCAATTATAAGCATATTAATTATAAAATTTGAAGTTATCTCAGAGCCTACTGATGCTCTTTTCATGTAAAAGGGTTTTTTTCTGACTCTTGCTTTCTGCTAATTTTAACAGATGTGTTACTTCTGGTTTAATTTCCACTCATTGATTTTTCTCATTAATTTATTTTAACTTATTGATTTTAGAGTATGAGGCAGAGAGAGAGAGGGGAACAAAGATTTGTTGTTCCACTTATTCATACATTAATTGGTTGATTCCCATATGTGCCCTGACCAGGGAGCCCTCAACCTTGGCTCACCTTGACAATGCTCTAACCAACTAAGCTACCCAGCCAGGGCCTTTCTCCTCATTTTTTATTGTATCATCTTGAGTCCTTGTATGCAGATAAGTTTGTATCAGATATCTGAATCTGTCCACTTTAGCTTGTTGGGTGATGGTAATTTTTGTATTTCTGTAAATATTCTTGACATTTTTGTCTGGCATGAACTTATGTTACTTGGCATTTTGATCCTTTTGAGTCTTGTGTTTACGATTTGTAAGGCAGAACAAAAGAAGTGACTGAGGCTAGGGATAATTATCTCTATTAAGGAGAGATCCTCCTGAGTACTCGACATAATTCCCAAGATTATGCGGTTTTCCAATCTCGCTAGCAGGAGGAAGCAATATTCCCAGTGCTGTGTAAGCATTAGGTTATATGTTCTCCTATCATTTTGAGTGATTCATTCCCTGGTGTTGCATATGTTCTTCACATGTGTGTGTTACCCTCTGCTAAATAGTCCTCTTTAGAGCCCTGCCTCTGCACGTCTGTGCTTTCTGGTATTCTTGTATGGCCTGAACATTCTCCCAAGACAGCAGGTAAGGCCATTATAGGATAAACCTTATTGGTTTCCCTCCTGTCAGGGATCACTGGTCTTTGTTGCCTGGTTTCATGTGTCTTGCTTTTTCACATACGTATGTTATTTTTATTGTTTCAAGTCAGAAAGTTACTCCATTTTGGCCAAAAGTAGAAGTGATGACTGTTGGCTAAGACTTCAACAGGAGTTTCTCCTGTCATCCACCATTGCATCAACCAGAAAAACCAGGCATCTCATTTCTCATGTCAATTTCTATAAATGTCAGAAAAGATAGAGCATGATGTGTTAACAGATCAGCCGTGAAATCATGCAAACGTTTAAAAATGTTGTATTAATATAAAAAATTGTATTAGTTTAAAATATAAAAGATAATTATTTGGTATATGTATATACATCGCAAAGTGATTTCCACAATAAGTTTAATTAAGATCAATTATCTCATAGTTACAATTTTCCTTGTAATCAGAATTCTTAAGATCTTATATCTGAGAAACTTTCAAATATACAATACAGAATGCTTAACTATACTCACAATGCTGTACTCGACAGCCCAAAACTTGTTTACCTTGTAACTAGAAGTCTGTACATTTTGACCTCCTACAAATATGAATGGTCACAGAAGGGGTTGTAGAGTGTTTCTGAAGCACAACTTAAAAAAAAACAAAAACAAAAACAAAAACAAAAAAACACTGACTAATGGTGAACATAATAAATGCAAAAGAAAAACTATATTTTATTAAAATTGAAAACTTAAAATTTTTTGACTGTCATCATTAGAATAACTTAAATGTAAATGAATACGCACAATGCAATTGAAATTATTTTTGTCTTTCAGACTTGGGATGAAGGTTTAGCGAAGACTGCAAAATCCTGGGCAAACAAGTGCAAATTAAAACACAACCAATGTACAGCAAATAAGTGTCACCCAACTTTTCCATCTGTGGGAGAAAATATTTGGTCAGGTATTTTATACCAATATATACCAGCAATTGCTATTCGTTCTTGGTATAATGAAAGGCAATTTTATACTTACAGTAGTCAAGAATGTACCAAAGTTTGTGGCCATTATACACAGGTAAATATTTGACATTTTATTCATTAGTTCTTATTTATGCACATTTCAATCATAAGACTTTTTTTTAGCATTTTTTCTTGAGTTAATCTTGGGTATCTTGAAAACTCAATATCATTTGGAAGATAGGTTTACTGGATATAGAATTCTCTGGATCTTTTGTTTTCTGGACTTTAAAGATTACTCTACTGTCATCTCAATGCATTAATTCCACTAAGAAATCTACTGTCAACCTTTTATTTATTCCAGTGTATGTAATATGCTTTTGTTTCTCTGATTAGCTTTATGATTTTCTTTTATTTTTATAACATATTTTTTATTGTTCATAGTATTATAGTATCTTCAATTCCCTCTCTCCACCCCAATCCTCCCAGCCCCTACCCACCTCCCCCAGGTCTTCCTTATCCTATAGCCCATGTCCATGGGCTATGCATATAAATATGTAAGTTCTTTGGTTTATCTCTTCTTGTCCTCCAACCCCACATCGTGGTATGCCAGTCTATTCCATGCCTCCCTGCTTCAGATATTATTTTGTTGGTCAATTCGTTTTGTTCATTAGATTCCACAAATAGGTGAGATCATGTGATACTTGTCTTTCTTAGTTTGACTTTTCACTTACCATAATAGTTTCCAGGTCCACCTTAAATGGTTTGGCTAAGTGGATAGAGCATTGGCCTGCAGACTGAAGGGTCCCAGGTTCGATTCTGGTCAAGGGCAGGTACCTTGGTTGCGGGCACATCCCCAGGAGGGAGTGTGCAGTAGGCAGCTGATCGATGTTTCTCTCTCATCGATGTTTCCAACTCTCTATCCCTCTCCCTTCCTCTCTGTAAAAAGATCAATAAACTATATATTAAAAAAACAGTTTCCAGGTCCATTCATGCTGTCCAAAGAGTAAAATATCCCTCTTTTTATAGCTGCATAGTCTTCCATAGTGTAAATGTCCCAGAGATTTTTTATCCATTCACCTAATGATGGGCAATTGGGCTGTTTCCAAATCTCAGCTATTTTAAATAACGGTGCTTTAAACATAGGGGTACATAGATTCTTCCTGATTGGTGTTTTGGGGTTTTTAGGATATATTCCCAGAATTAAAATCACTAGGTCAAACAGAATTTCCTTTTTTAATTTTTTGAGGAAAATCCATACTGTTTTCCGTAGTGGCTACACCAGTTTGCATTCCCACCAGCAGTGAATTCGTGTTCCCTTTTCTCTATATCCTCACCAGCACTTGCTGTTTGTTGAATTTTTTGTAATAGCTATTCTTACAGGTGTGAGGTAATATCTCACTGTTGTTGTTTTTCTTTTATTGATTAAGGTATTATAAATGTGTGGTTATCCCTCCATTGCCCCCCACCTGCCTAATCCTGCCCTCACCCTCACCCTCACCCTCTGTTGTGTGCATCCATTGGTTATGGTTACATGCATGCATACAAGTCTCTTGGTTCATCTTCCCCCTTACCCCATGCTTCCCTACCTTCCCTCTGAGGTTTGAAGATCTGATCGATGTTTCTGTCTCTGGATCTGTTTTTCTTCATCGATTTATGTTATTCATTATAAACCACAAATGAGTGCGATCATGTGATGTTTATCTATTTCTGACTGACTTATTTCACTTAGCATAATGTTCTCCAGTTCCATCCATGTGGTTGCAAATGGTACGAGTTCCTTCCTTTTTATAGCAGCATAGTGTTCCATTGTGTAGATTTAGAAACTATATTTAATCTACTCATCTACCGATCAACACTTAGGCTTATTACAAATCTTATTGTAAATTGTGCTGCTATGAACATATGGGTGCATATAT